CTTCCCTCTGATGTAGTCTGCCGCAGAAGGTGACAGTCGACGTCAATGAGCTATGACAGTCATGCAGAACCCAGCCCAGGTTGGTGTGCGAGGCGACTGGTTGGTTTCGACGACCGACGCGCAGTTTTCTAGACACTATGAGGTGCCAGTTATCTTGTCCGATTAGTATTTTCGGTGAGGCGCGTTCGTCGGTGATATCTTCTTTGATATCCAACAGATGTTGGCAATTCTCTAAGTGATTTTCATTCACGGATTCTGGCGCGAAGTCCAACCGCGCCGTACGCGCTGCTTCTATGTTGTGTTCCTCTTGCGCGTACTTTCCTCTTATTTTAAGGCTGACGATCTTGCTCTTCTCATGTTTCACCTCCGAGCCGACCCCGTGTATCCATATTGCGTGGGCTGGGCCGTCGGCGCCGATGACGTCGGCGATCGAGGCATCGACTAAGGTTACCGTGCTTCCTTCATCCAATAATGCGTATGTTTCGACGCAGCTTAGCGGCCCCCTTATTGTTACGGGCGCAATCTTTAGATAAGCGCGGCGGTGCTTGTACGGTTGAGTCGCTGTGATGACCTCCCTTGCCGATGTTGCGGTTTCCATAGCGGGTTCCTTTTCAATTTCTGCTGTTCTCTCGTGATGCAGCAGTTTATGTTGTTTCATCATGCATCCGCTTTTTCCGCACGGTGGAGCTTTACACAGCAATCGGCGATGTTTACCTCGCAGACAGCGGTAGCAGATATTATTCTTCTTTGCTACTTTCCATCTGTCATTTGTGGACAGAGCGGCGTATGACTTGCAATCGGGCAGTTTGTGTTCTTGTTTGCATTGAGGGCAGCGTTCTTCATATTGTTTCTTGCTTGTGGCGAAGGCACGTTCTATTTTTCTCGGTCTTCGCTCTCTCGTCTCGCTGTCCTCTGCTATGAACTCCGGCAAGGCATACTCGCTGCATTTGTCCGCTTCTTCATTTAAGAACATTGATATCTTCTTAAGCTCTGTGATATCTTCTTTCTTTCTGGCTGCATAGTCGTACCATTTGCTTCTCAATATGGGCGTGAGTTTGTCTGTGATAACTCGCGTCATTTCCGGACTATGCAGATAGTGTGCTTTCTTGAGTGCTTCCACGGTGCCCACTACGTTTGCTATGCGATTTGCGAATATGCATAGCTCCCTGGGATTGTCCGTAACTTTGTTCAGCAGCTTCAGCTTCTCTATTTCCAAGTGGATTAACGCTTCTGGTCGTCCGAATCTCCTTTCCAAAGCTTCCATTATCAGGCTGGGATCTGGTTGGTTGGCTGGTTGGCGTATTCTCGCTATGTTTTCGTTCATCGTGAAGTACTTTGAAGATTCTTCGTACGTTGTTTTGAAGCTGAGCCATTCTTTGCTGCTACCATTGAATGTAGGTAGCTCTTGCACATATTTCGGCGGCTCCCTTGTGCTTCGTACTGCTTGTGATAAAGCAGCGGCTAAGGTAGCGACGTCGATTTGTTACTGCGCCTGCCCATTGTCTTCTTTCTGCGGCACGGATTGTGATGCAAACTGCGGAGCGGGTTGCGATGCGAAGTGCGGCGTGGGTTGCGGCGCGGGCTGCGGCGCGGGTTGCGATGTAGACTGCGGAGCGGGTTGCGATGCGAAGTGCGACGTGGGTTGCGGCGCAGGCTGCGGCGCTGGTTGCGATGTAGGTTTTCTTGCAACCATGTACTAATGCGTACTGATGCTAAATCGTCTTCTATTTCTTCACCTTCGTCATCGGTTGATCCGACTTCTGCTTGTAGTCGCTGCACGTGTATTTCTTGCAATTCCGTTCTTGCTTGCAACTGAGCCTGCTCGAGCTTGAGTTCGGCTAACCGCTCTTTCGCCTTTAACTCCGCAAGGAGTCTCTTGCGTGAGGCTACGGAGCGGCACGACCTAGTCTCATCGGGCCTTAGTGTGCGCTGCGATCTTCGATCCCTCTCTTGCTGGGTTTCTTCCGTTGCGGCCGTGTTATCGGTCGCAGAGGTAGCGGTTGTATCGCTAACCGTTGTGGTTTCGCTCGTGGTGTTGGATGTACCAGTAGCGGTTGAATCGCCCCCCGAGGCCTCTTCTGTGGCCCCCTGGGTTATTTGTTCATCCTTGAGACGCTTCGATGATTCTCCGTTGTTACTACGTGTAATCACCATTTTTCTTCACAATAATATTTTTTCGTTCTTGCGGTTTGCTTCTTTCTTCCGGCAATACCAAGACCGATATTGTCTTTTTCTTCTAGTAATCCGGCTTCTCGAAGGACCATTAATGTTACGGATCGCCGTAACACCGTTCGAAAAATGAATGAAACGCGTTGGTCTTGCTTAAACTGGAGGCAAGCGACGGTGAGGAGGAACTTTTTCTTTTCTTTTCTGTGGCTGGAGAGCGACTGCCGACCGTTCCGGCCGGCCCGTCTTATATACGATTTGGCCGTTGCTGGCCAGCGGACCCTTGCCTCACCCCCGCGCCTTTCTTTATTAGGTAGATTTCTTACAAACTAATGCACAGACTTAAATATATAACATTCTTACAACTACTTATTAAACTAATACTTACATAACAATTCTTCTATATACTAAAGGTTACCATGTTGTCTTTCTAGCAATTTTAAGCTGAGTACCCTGCCCCCCGCCTCAGTACTATAAATATAAAACGTCGTGGCGCGGCGCGCGTAGCCTCATTCGCTCCGCGGCCGCGTCACGGTAACATGCCCTGTTTATTATTTATCGTGCCTAAAGGCTTAATACATAAGAAATTAAATTGCACTATACAAGGGAATATAATTTACATATAATACTTATTCTACAATTTGGCATTAATTAATTTCTATATTCTAAATCTATGTTAACTCTCGCCAATTTTTCGGTCCAGTGTTCTGTGGGCAACCACCGCTAGTTGTGGAACCGTGAGCGCGGCCTGACGATCATAACATCCTCCTGGCCCCACTCACCGCCCCTAGGTTGTTCAAACTAGCGATGGTTACCACAAGCAATCCGTAAGTCATTCCGTTCGACGTATTACTATATTTGCGTCGTGCACAATTACCTTTACTATAATGCCTGTGCGGAATTGCAAAACGTGCATTACTTTGGTCCAAAGCTAATAATTTTATACTTTACTTTTACAACAGGGCATGATTGTGGCCATGGCGAATGAAAAACCTCTAGTAAGGCTTCAGATGAAGAAACCTTGCGATCACCCATATCTAAAGCCTTTGTTCATGTTGAAACTTAATTCCATAAGTGATTGTGTTTTAGTAAAAGTAATTATTTGTCTCTTTTTAACTTAAGTACCAAGTTATTTTTTTGCAATATTCCTAAGGTAAAGTGCTAATGGTACACCGGCACCGACGCTGATAATGTAGATGCTGCTGCTCATCTCCTAGTTCCATTCCGCTCTGTCACCTCTTACGACACCAACTTGACGATATGGGGCAGTGGATATCCTTAAGCCACTTAATGCCGCCACTACATGGTCATGTAATTCATTTATTGTAATTTTATCCGTGTGAAAAAATATACTCATTCTTTGGTCGTAAAATGCGACATAGGCAAATTCCTAAAAAAAATTATGACTTCTGATAGATAAGCAAAATCAAGCGTAGTCTGGTATGAGAATCGACATCCGCCAACCAAGCGTGATAATTGTTTTTTGCTGTATACTTTGTTTATTTAGACCATTTTTACAAGTTTTTAATCCACCCCTAGAAAAAAATTTGACTGCCCGTAAGCTATCTGGAAAAAAATTCTCCTACACAACACTAGAGTTGGCTGAGTGACAAGCGCGTAACTGACATCTTACTTCACCACCTTTTATTTCATTAGATTTAGAACACTTGTTAGAATATGGTTGGTGAGTTAACAGTATGAATAGAGCAAAGAGTATATAATCACTAAATTTCAGCACAGCTCCGTAGCATAGTAGCTAAGCTTTTAGTCGCAGCGCTGCATGGACTCGGTTTCGGATTCCTCACTGAACAAGTAACCTAATAAAAATTGTCCTGGTCTAGAGGTGTGTCCTGGTGAAACTACCATTATACTGGATAAGATTCACATAGTGTGTAAATTTAGAAAATTTGGCACAGAAATACCACGGAGGCATGTTATTCTATGGAAACCTGACGTTCAAATCCGTTTTCTACAGCGACAATAGTCACATTTTATGCACTGTTTTATCAGCCACATTGACTCTTGAAATAGTACCCCTTAGTCTCTTATTTATTCTGTTATGTCTCCTTTTTATAGAATAAAGGTGACAAAAGAGCACACTGTCCACCTGATTGATTGCAGTTTTTTTTTATTTTCTTGATCTGATTATCGACGCTGCTGCCCATCTCCTGGTTTATTTCCTTCTGTCGCCTCTTACGACACCTACGGGACCATATGAGGCAGGGGATAATCTTACTCCATTTTTACCTTAACAAAACACAATATTATTATCTTTTTCTCGTGTAGTGGCGACGTAATAGTATCAATCGTACCATATCGTTGTGTGCATGTTGCAAGAGAATATTTTAGAAATGCTAGAAACATCTCATGTATATTAATGCATATTAAACATTACATAATGTATATACTGGGATAAAAGGCGGACTCTACAAAGTGATAAAAAGAACAGAATTTACTTGTTTCCTTTTTTGTCTAATTGAAGGCTCGAACCAGTGTAACAGTGGTAGAGCCACGTGGCAGCTTTTGCTGTCGCACGGATGGGCCGGCTCGAACCGGGGTGGTACCACGACCTCACAGAATACCAGCGTGAAGTAGAGGTTTACCTCTGCGCAGAGGCGGCTTTACCCACTGCGAGGCTCCGGGCGGCAGGTCTTTGCGAGGCCCTTTGTCCTTCGTGAAGAGTATGTGATGCGAAAGTAAGTCTGGTTGTTAGGTTTAGGTATTTGTCATGTTTGAGGAGAAATGCTAAAGTTATACAAATAAATAAAATTAGAGTTTTAAAACATTTTAAATTGAAGGGTTTCCAAAATTAACAAATACAGAGATGATAAATTTTAAAATTGATGTTTGCGACTTTTCCTAAGACTAAAATATTTAATTAAAACACAATAATCTAACGAACTAGTTACGTCATTTTCGATTGAAAGAATAGCAAGGGCTGAAAGCCGATCTTGTGTCATCGAATTCCTCAAATATGTTTTGATAATTTTAAGCCTCGAAAAGCTCCTTTCAGCAGACGCAACTGTAACAGGTGTGGTAGCAATAATTCTCAGGACTATTTCGATAGTGGGGTAAACTTCAGTTAACTTTTGTTCTACTATGTATTTCAGCACCGAGATAATATCGTTGTTTCCTTCATACACACGGATGAACATATTCAGTTCTTCGTATAATTCATGTCCATCAATATCACATGATTCTCCTACTGTCATAGATATTTGCAAGTCGTTGCATTGCTTCAAAAGTTCACTATCACTAATTTCCTTTAATCTTTTTATATTATACATGAAACCAAATATGCTCTCATGATGTTTAAGAGCCGCAAACCTAGGATGGCAGCTTGCGCGCACAATGATATAAAAATAGTTTATTTTAAAATATTCTTCCGCATTCAATTCATGAGCTTCATGTTCCCCTTCATAATCAAAATGCCTTTTTTGCGTTGTCATCTGACTTCTTTGAACTATCTATCAATATCATTTTCCTCGGCTATTTCTCTCGCTGTTGCAATAGATGACTGAAAACCATTTTCTCGATAATTATCGAGCCATTTTGTGAATGTGTCTAGGTGTTGTAAAGCCACATCTAAGTGCATGTTTTCGCTTTGCCACGTTTTACTTATAACATTTATCTTTGTAAGAATGTCATACCATATGATAAGTGAAACTGCAAATTCGTAGGTAGTTATTTCCTTTTCTATAGAATGGCATTCACTGACCAACTGACAATCTGTTGTATTTTCTGCTAAATCCTTTCTAGCATCACATAAATCGCTTAGTTGGTATTTAACGGTCTTCACCGATGCTGCCGTGCACTCCCATCTAGTTTTAGAAAGTGGTTTTAGCGATAACTATTTACCTTTGTAGCAAACCAAAAGAAAATTTTGCTTGGACACAAACAATGCTGCATCTCCTATGATGAGATTCCAGCTATGACTCCCACAACGTAAAAAATGAACAAGTGAATTAATTTCAAGAATACGTTTTTGGACACCACTTTATTCACCACGCATATTGGCACCATTATCATATCCTTTAGGCTTCTGCAGTTTTGCAATGATATTATTAACTGTTTTTAATCTGTAATTATATAATTACAGATTAAAAAAGGGAAAAAAAGATCGAAAGTGCACGTTATTGTGTACAGACGTGTCATATAGTAATTAAAATAATTAAATAAGTATGTGCTTAGCCGTGACCTCGTTATAACAATACCGGTAGTAACTGTGACATACTTTAGTTATATTTGTGTTAGTGATATTGTTGAAATGTTTTAGCTTAATCTAGTATAGGTACTAAAATGGAGAACAGTCCTTTCAACCGGAGTGCCAGAACCACTCGCACCCCGCCTCCATCAACCCCACCCACTGTCATGCAGACACCCACCTCAAGCGAACCAATCAAAACAATTCCAACTCCTGAGTTGCAGCAGTGGATGACAAGCATTGACCTGTGCCTTAACGAGGTGTGCTCCATCGCTATAGAAGGAAAACTAAACTCGGATCAAAAAATGCGCATCAGCTCGCTTTGTCGAAAAGTAGGCCAAAGTACATCACAATTGGTAGTCCAGTACATGTCCCTCAAAATGGATGCCACTAAAGCCCAGACATCCATCGTTTCTCTACAGAACCAACTTGACCTGTCCCAAAAGCTGCAGGAACTCAAAAATAGTATCGAAGAGTCATCAAAACCGGACTCTGGAACCTCTTTTGCGGACATGGTCAAAAAAGGTGGCCAAACCCTCATTCGCCCAAACAATCTTAGTACCCTAGCAATTTATCCGAGGGACAAGTCCAAATCCAGTGATGACACGAAGTGCCTCTTACAAAAAATAATATCCCCAGAAGAACTCAAACTACATGTCCGGGGCATGAGGAAGGTCAAAAATGGGGGAGTTATAATTAGCGCTGAGACAAAAGGGGATATCGACAAATTAAAGAACTCCGAGAAGCTTGTATCTTCTGGCCTTACCATGGAAGAGCCGACTAAACGACGTCCGAGGATTGCAATTGTTGGTGTCCCTTTAGCCCTTACGGATAAAGTGTCTCGAGTGTATCTTCGAACAAAATATTGCCGATAAATTTCCCAAAGCCACGCGTGATTCTTTCCTGGCAACAGTCAAACTGAGCCATAAATCAGGTGAGAAAAACCTTCCTACCTGTAATTACATTGTCGAAGTGTCACCTAGCATCAGGAAGGCCCTTATCAATCAAGGACGAATATATATTAATTGGACCTCATGCCCAGTCAGAGACTTTACAATAGTAACAAGATGCTTCAACTGCCAGCAGTTTGGTCACTCAGCCAAATTTTGTCGTGAAAGTTGCCCTACATGTAACTACTGTGGAGAGCTTGGGCATTCCTTTAAAGAATGTAATAACAAAGCGCACGCCCCCGTTTGCGCGACGTGTAAACGTTTTAAAAGAAAATGCGACCACAAAACTGGTGATGAAAGCTGTCCAGCACGTAAATTCGCAGAGGAGAAATATATCAACTCCATAGACTATGAGGGCGCCTAAGAGCGCCGTGTATTATATTATTTACTTAGCTCTTAAACACTAGTTTTAGTTTATCCTTAAGCTTAAGTATGGCGAATCAATTACTCAATGACCTAGAAAACTTTTCTGTGTCTGACGCTAAAACGTGTAATGTTGATGACTGTAAACACTTCCTTCCACGTACTGAAAATAAGTTAGTCTTACTTACACAAAATATTAGAAGCATAAATCGGAATATAACCGGGTTTGAAGTCTTGTTGCATAGACTGGATATAAAATGAGATATTATTGTCCTTACAGAATGTTGGCTGTCAAACCTCCCACCCCACCTACCGATTCTAGATGGCTATTCTTTACACAAAACCGAAAAAAACATAAATCAAAATGACGGTTTAGTAATCTATGTTAAAAATAATTTAAAAGTAACTGTTACAGAACCTACATTCCAGGATAGTAATTGCTTAATCATTAGAATTAATTCCGAGACGATTGTTATCGCAATTTACAGACCTCCTTCACAAAATATTGATAGATTCCTAGAGTCCCTTGATATTACCTTAAACAAACTTAGCTCGTATAAAAATATAATCTTAACGGGTGACATAAATATTAACATTACCCCTGGAAAAACAGATAACCATGCACATAACTACCTAAATATTTGCTCTTTTCATGGACTATTACCAACACATTACCACCCTACATATCAAAGTGGCTCTTGTTTAGACCATTTTATGATTAAATCACATAAACCTTCTTTAACATTAGTTACTAATTCCTTGCTTACTGATTATCAAGCAATTTTACTAACATTACAATTAGCCTTACCTAGGAAAAACTGCATACGCAACGACACTAAAGTCCATATGACGAACCTTGAAAATCACATTCGTAGCATTAATTTTGACGTTGTTTACTGCTCTGACAATGCAAATACGTCCTTGAGTTACTTTATAAATTCTTTACAATATGCAATAATGAATAATACATCAACAATAAAACTATCATGTAAGTATTATAATATTAAACCTTGGATAACACCTGGTCTCGTCAGCTGTATAAGAAATAGAGACAAACTTCATTTAAAATCTAAACTTTCTCCTGATAATTTAATACTTTCTACTACTTATAAAAGATATAGGAATTTTTGCAATAAACTATTAAAAAACCTCAAAATACAATATGACAAAAATGTTTTACAAAAGGCCGGTAAAAACAGTAAACTTGTATGGAAGTTCATTAAAAATAATACCTTCAGTTCAAAAAATCTTGGACCCCCACTTGATCTACTGTTATTAGACAAAAGCCCAAATGAAGCAACCAATAAAGTGAATAATTATTTTATTAATATTGGCAAAAAAATAGCAGAGACAACTTTAAAATTAAGCAACACTCGTAATCCAATTTTTATGCCCACATCCTTTTCTAAGTTAAATTCTTTTGTATTGTTAAATACCGATATTGATGAGATTTTAAGTATAATATCTGGCTTAAAAGAAGATTGTGCAGTTGGATGGGACAATATACCTAATCGCATTCTGAAAAGATTTAAACATTTACTGGCCGCCCCGTTAACACATACAAATTTTACATATTTTTAGGACCCTTTCTATATAACAAGCTCAACAAGTCACTAAAGGTATATAGTCTAAGTTATAAGGACTGTAATATAAGTGTAAGGGAATTTCTAAATAAATTAAATTACGAAGACACAGAGAAGTTGTTAGATATACTAAAATAGTTTGTATTAATTGTAGGCAATAAATAATTGTTATTTAGTTATTTTATTTATTATACAATTTAGTATAATTATTTAAATATCTAGTGTCCTACATTATTAAACCGTTTGTATAAGTGATGTCTGAAACACAGGTACTCAACCTAGTTCAGGCAGGTAGCTAATATTATAAATATGAATTTTCTATCTTCTTTTGTAGATTCTACATTATTTAGCTACACATAGTTTTAATTTTATCATAGCATGTTATTTTTGTTAGACTTATTGTTACTTTATTAATTGTAATCATTCTGATTCCTGTATGTCAACATGTGTAATTCGAAATGAAATAAATATTTATTATTATTATTAATTAATCAAACTCTCAGCTGTATATTTATTAAAATATCTTATAGTAATTGAAAGTTGCTCAACACGAGAAACGTCGCGAGTACAATCAAGTATAATCGAGTATTATTTATTATTTTTTCAACAATTTGAGTCTTCACGTGACTTTCCCTTAAATTTTTTATGAGCTCATTTTGAATACTTTTTCCGATATAGTAGTCATTAATCGTCTTATCCTTTACTAAATATATAGAGTTGCCGCTTGATCACTCGAATCGTCTCTCTATGACCCCTGAAGGCCAAATTGTGAGATGGTAAAAAATTTACAATTGCGAGCAATCGTTCTAAAATATCTCTACAACGTTGCCTTTCTTCTTCAATTTGTGACTGGGCCATGAAGTCAATAGTGGATCAGCTTTTTAAACTATTATCTAAATTAATCCATTTCAACATACAATTTTTGTGCTGTCCACTAGATTCGTGAGACCCTAGGTAATCCAATGATCCAATCTTTGTATTTCCTAGCCCGAATATCCGACGCGGGAAGCAGTAAACGGTATCCTTTGCTTCTGAATAAATCATCTAGTATTTGTCAAGCTTTTCACCGTTAACTAATATCTTATTAAAATGATATTCGCTGAATCGCCGTCTATTATCATTTACGGGAACTAAATCAACTTTAACCCAGATTGGACCTTTTAATACAATCTTAGTTCAGTCTACATCAGTAATTGTTATGGGCCACAAACCAGGGTCATTTTGATTTCCATTCCAGCACTCATTGATGTAGACATAGACTCGGCCTCAGATTCGTGTTCTTGACTAGATAGCGTTGACGGCGGCACCGGAGACCTAAGTGACAATGATGTTGTGGCGGCGCTATGGTCGTGCCACAAGCTAAACACATCGAAGCCTAAATTGCGCTAACGAAGTTCCGAAATTAAAGCAGTACATATAGAATAGCTCCGAACTACCACTCGGAGCTTTGGCCGCTCCCCGGGCAGAACACCTTGCCCGGCGGGAGATCTCCCCTTTTCCTTCCACCCGGCACAATGGTGACCCCGACGTGATATGAACACGCAACTAACAAACCTTCGGAAACTACACCTTCAAACCTTCATCATCCTCAAGTACCACATTCATTCGCTTCCGAGCTGATATCGTCTGCAGTCTTCACATTCTGCAAGCCATCTAGCTTTACAAAGGTTCATCGCAGCATTGGAATAATAATGCTTCCTGTTCCTTCAAGCTACTCTCTGCGCTAGAGTGTTCGGCACGGCTCTAAGCCTTACTGCTCGCCTCTGCTTCACGGCACTCTAGCAGATTACTTGCCGTCTTCTCGACTCACCGCAGACTACAAGGCAATCCCTGGCGCTTGCTCCGGCTCATCGTTCTCACCGGCATCTCTTGCAAGTGCGTAATATGGCATGCATTACACACTGGCATATCGTTCGCATCGGCGTCACTTGCCCTTACGCACACAGCATGCATTCTCCACCGGTATTAAGGACGCATCGGCAATCGGACTGCGCTATCGACCTCCGGTCTCAGCAGGGGGGTGATGTAGCGGCGCTGTCGTCGCGCCACAAGCGAAACACATCGACGCCTAAATCGCACTGACAAAGTTCTGAAATTAAAGCAGTACATATAGAATAGCTCCGAACTACCACTCGGAGCGTTGGCTGCTCCCCAGGCAGAACACCTTGCCCGACGGGAGATCTCCCCTTTTCCTTCCACCGGCCACAATGGGGCGATTTAGGCGTCGATGTGTTTCGCTTGTGGCGCGACGACAGCGCCGCCACAATGTACTTAATTCATCACCATCCTCGCTGTTTTTACTTAATGACGGCGGCGGCACCCATGATGGAGTGGAAGGAATGTTTTCAGCTGGATCAGGATTAGAGTCACTTTCAGTCAATAAATGTTTTGTAGAGGTTTCTTGATCATCACTTTTTATATATTTATATAAAGATCCAGGTAGATTTTCTTTTACCTGCTTTCTTTTGATAGCTCGTTTCCTTTTTGAACTACCTGACTCAAATTTTCTACCGGCATCACGATTACCTGAACTCATTTCGTAAATCTTGATTTGTATCGCAAAAACAGTCAGAAATAATTTTTATGCCGGGTTTACACGCTTGACAAGCCTCGGCAAGCATCCACAAGCACAAGCGTGTAAAGAGGGCGTTGGGCTTGGCTTGCGTGAGCTTGTGGACGCTTGTCTCCGACCCGGTCTAGTGTCGGTTTTTGGACACAGATCAAAGGGCGCTTGCAGCAAGCGCTTGCAACGCATTCACACGTTGGTGCGCGTTTAGTAGAAATTGTGATTTCGCGACGAGCGCATGTTTAGTTCTTTGTTTAAAATGAGTGGCTGGTTGAACGAAGAGAGTTTATCGTTTCTGGAATATTACGAGAGCGAATCGTCTATCTGGAACCCAAAAGACGTTAATCATAAAAATAAAAAGAAAGTTGCAGATGCTTGGAGTCGTCTTACCAAGTTAACGGGAAAGCCAGTAAAATAATAAAAAGCCAAAAAATTCCTTGTTTTTGTATTACTTTGCTTGTATTTCAAATAAAAGTATGTTAAACCAAACGCAATGGCCGACACAAGTTCGGTGTCCGCCATGCTTGGGTGTACGTAGCACACTGACGCATTCACAAGCATGAAAACGACTTCCAAACGCCAAACGAGATTTGTGGACGCTTGGGGCTTGAAGACGTTTGCCAAGGCTTGGCAAGCATGGAAAGGCACCATTAAGTATCACACAGTTTTTTTTTACACTTTTTCAGCTTACTCAATACTTTAAATACTACAAGAACGTAATTTTTTAATGATTTTGTAATTCATACTGCAAGCAAAATAATTCCAAGGTGACAAGAGTTGATGAACGAAAAGAAAAACGGGGATTAACTGAGCGATAAAGGAGCAGAACATTATGTCCCGACTCCCAAGCTGACCAGAATGCTATGCGATTAAAAAAAACGGATCTTCAAGTGTTTCAAAGCGCGATATTCAAGTACTACAAAATGAATTTTTCAATTATGTTTTGAATGAATGAATTAGTTAATTAACTTTATTTAAATTTATCGTTATGTTATAACTTTAATAAGTAATTAACTTTAAAATTTATTAATAAGTAAGTTATAAATAAAAATTAAAAAAAAAATTTTTTTAAAATTTGCTTGCGTTGTTGCGCGAGGCCTCTGCAAGAGCGAGGCCCCGAGCGATTGCCCTGTTCGCCACCCCCTAAGGCCGCCACTGCCTCTGCGTTTCGCTTGGTGAGTGCAGGTGGCCGGAGGCCCTTTTTACTGGAAATGAGGCATTCCATCTTAGTCCTCACGAGTGACAACGCATCTGCATTTTGATTTGTAAGAGAGAATAGATGTAGATGTCTATGGGTCGCAGCAACCACTTGCCATCAGGTGGACTATGTGCTCGTTTGTCACCCTTATCCTATAAAAAAAAAACACGTTACATACCTACAAAAACTGCTGCCGAATAGCTACGAGGGCTGGTCAAAAAGTTCGCGGGCTGGAGGGTAACCCGAAAAGAGAGTAGGGTTTTTTTTATCTGTCAATACTTGGTGACTCAATACAAATATAAATACCAAGTTGCCGCCAGGTCGGTTCATTAACCTTTGAGATATCACAGAAAAATCATGTCAATCTGGAAGTGAACACTAATTATTGAGAAAATTGAGATTTGTGTCGTGATTAAGGTTCCTTACTTTGGCTTACCACAATTAAGTAAATTTTAGCTGCAGAAGAAGACACACACATACAGAAGCGGCCCCACAGGAAGCGGACCTGGCCGAGCCCCGATGGTTCCACAAAAAATGAGATTGACTTCATTATGATGACCAGACGACTGTTTAGTGATGTCTCCGTGATCGCGAGGGTGAAAACTGGTAGCGATCACCGAATGGTTAGAGGCACACTGAACCTAAACGTTGGAGAGGTCTCGCCTAATGAAGTCAACGCTCCGTTCCCCTCGTGCTCTGTTCCAAAGTCCTAAAACCTTTCAGCTCGTGTTACAAAACCGTTTTCAGTGCCTAGAAAACTGCAATGAAGTGGACGATATGAATAACAAGCTCGTGGCAACTGTCCATGCGGTCGGAGCTAAGTTCTGTAAGACCCGCCGCAGAAGAAGACAAAAACTCTCCGATCACACTCTTAATCTTATGGTTGTTAGACGGGAGATGAAGCTACATTCTTCAACAGATTTGACAGCATACAGGCAACTGAGCAGACATCTCCAAATGCATGCGGCGGGACTTACGCAACTTCAATACAGCTTGTATTGAAGAAGCGATCGAGCGGAACCAAGGCTCCAAAGTCTTTGGCAGAGATCTGTCTGCCAGAAAGAGCCAACTGTCAAAGCTGAGGACCGAGTGTGGCAGCATCGTTTCCGGGGTACCTGAGATTTTGAGTGAGATTGAGAGGTTCTATGGACAGCTGTACACGTCATCGTTGGAGCCACACGCAAGTGTGAGTAACGATCCAAGAGCGAGTCTTATCCGACACTATTCCGAAGATATCCCGGACGTGAGCGAGATTAGAATGGCTCTCCACCATCTTAAAAACGGCAACGCCCCAGGCGAGGATGGAATTACAGCGGAGCTTCTGAAAGCGGGTGGAAAGCCGGTACTTGAAGTCCTTCAGAGGCTCTCTAATTCCGTCCTCCATGGTGGCATTACACCGGAGGCGTGGAGCAGAAGTGCGGTGGTCTTGTTCTTCAAGAAAGGTGACAACGCTCTCTTGAAGAACTACAGACCGATTCCCCTTCTGATTGCGTCTACGTGTTGTTTTCGAGAGTCATTACGAATCGTCTCGCGCGCAGACTTGACGATTTCCAGCTTCCCGAACAAGCCGGTTTCCGAAAGGGCTTTAGCACCATAGACCACATACATACCCTTCAGCAAGTTGTACAGAAGTCCGAGGAGTACAATTTGCTACTATGCGTGGCGTGTATGGACTATGAGAAAGCCTTTGATTCCGTCGAAATTTGGGCGGTGCTGCAGTCCCTTCAGCGGTGCCAAGTTGACTGTCGGTATATCGAAGTGCTGAAGTGCTTGCACAGTAGGGCTACGATGGCTATCCGAGTACAGAACCAGAGAACGAAACCTATCCAATTGCAGAGAGGTGTAAGACAGGGTGACGTTATATCCCCGAAACTCTTCACCGCTGCATTGGAAGACGTTTTCAAGCTTCTGGACTGGAAAGGATATGGTATTAACATCAATGGCGAGTACATCACTCACCTTCGATTTGCCGACTATATAGTCCTTATGGCAGAATCGCTAGAGGATCTAAGCACCATGCTCAATGACTTCACTAATGTCTCCCAACGGATAGGTCTTAAGATGAACATGGACAAAACAAAGATGTCCATGTCACACCTATGCCGGTAGTTGTTGGGAGCACTAAGCTCGAAGTTGTTGACGAGTATATTTACCTGGGACAAATAGTCCGACTAGGTAAGTCCAACTTCGAACGAGAGGTCAATCGACGGATTCAACTCGGCTGGGCAGCGTTCGGGAAACTACGACACATCTTCTCGTCAGACATACCTCAAAACCTTAAAACGAAATTGTACAACCAGTGCGTGTTGCCAGTGATGACTTACGGATCTGAGACGTGGTCTTTCACTGCTGGCCGTATGAGGAAGCTCAAGGTCGCTCAGCGAGCTATGGAGAGGGCTATGCTCGGAGGTTCTCTGCGGGATTAACTCAGAAATGAGGATATCCGCAGTAGAACCAGAGTGACTTACATAGCCCAACGGATTAGTAAGCTGAACTGGCAGTGGGCCGGCCATATAGCTCGAAGAACCGACAACCGATGGGGAAGAAAGGTTCTTGAGTGGCAGCCTCGTACCGGTAGGCGAAGTGTAGGGCGACCCCCCACGAGATGGAGTGACGACCTGGTAAGACATGCAGGAAGTCGATGGATGCAGGTGGCTCAGGACCGTGCTTTGTGGCATTCCTTGGGCCTTTGTTCAGCAGTTGACTTATGAAAGGCTGTAATGATGAAAATGATGAATATTTTCAACTCTTGTCCATTTAATACCGCGAATTTTATTAACTCCCGTCGTATTTTAATACATATTGTCTGCCTCTATAATGTAGTTTTAGTGAGTCCGACTGCTGATCGTGTGGTCCCAATTTCGAATCACGGGTCGGACCCAATATCAGCTATTGTAGGGTAATTCCGGGAAAAAATCACAGTCACACTTCCTAAATTGCACTATTTTCTCATAAGAAAACTTCGTGCAGTGCGTGGGATCGACATTTTGGTCTTACTTCGGCGACAAAATAACAAAAATTAGTAAAATGTACCTATATTGATGTTTATGAAGCTTGAAGTTTTCAAATGGTCTACGTTAGGGGGTGCTAAGAATCTCCGGTGGAGGTTCGGTTGCCACCTACGACGACTCGACCTGGCAACATACAACGCACGCACCCTGAGGACTGACGAGAAGATTGTGGAGCTGGAAGAAGAGATAGACAAGTTACGCTGGCATATTATAGGATTATCCGAAGTCAGAAGATGACACGGTAATCCTCGAATCCGGCAACTTGCTCTATTACCGGGAGGGCGACCATCTGTCCCAAGGAGGTGTCGGATTTATCGTCCTCAAGTCTCTCGTTAACAACGTTGTAAAGATTGAGAGTGTGTCGACGAGGGTTGCGTACCTTATACTCAGAATCACCAAACGGTATTCGCTGATGGTCATACAGGTTTACGCGCCAACCTCGGCCACCCCGATCAGGAGGTGGAGGAAATGTATGAGGATATCTCTAGAGCCATGCATTCCTCCAAAACCCAATATACGGTGTTAATGGGAGACTTCAATGCAAAACTAGGTACAAGAGAGAACGGTGAGCTGAAAGTGGGGAAATTTGGAATAGGGCACGGAACCCAAGGAGCCAGCAGCTGGCCGACTTCATGGAGAAAGAGGGACTCTTTATGATGAACTCTTTCTTCCAGAAGCGGCCCCACAGGAAGTGGACCTGGTCGAGCCCCGACGGTTCGACAAAAAATGAGATTGACTTCATTATGACGACCAGACGACAACTGTTCAGTGATGTCTCCGTGATCGCGAGGGTGAAAACTGGTAGCGATCGCCGAAAGGTTAGAGGCACACTGAACCTAAACGTTGGAGAGGTCTCGTCTAATGTAGTCAACGCTCCGTCCCTCTCGTGCTCTGTTCCAAAGTCCTCAAACCTTTCGGCTCGAGTTACAAAACCATTTTCAGTGCCTAGAAGACTGCAAAGAAGTGGACGATTTGAATGACAAGCTCGTGGAAACTGTCTGAAAAGCAGCACATTTATATCAATACAAAATTAGAATGCTAGCAAATATGTAAACTATTGTTTTGAGGATAGATACACACTCACATACAAGTGTTTATTACGCAGAATTACATTCTATAATCATTCTACAGTTATAATAGCTACGGTACGTTTGGTTATTGAAAGGAAAGTGTTTCTTGTTTCTTACTGCCCTCAAAAATCAGCAATTTCACTCGCATGCCGTGTTATTGCCAACATTTGAAAAAACCTCAAACTATTGCAACGATGTTTCCAATGTAAATTACAATAAGAAAACTATTTCTAATTTCTTATATTCGTATAATTGTGGGTCTTAAACAATTGTTTAAATTTATAATGTATAAACAAAAGTGACGCCGGTAAGTACAGAGCTCAGGCTCAGAATATCATGAAATGATGTTATGAATTATGTTTAACAGTCAAATTTAGAAGGGTCGCAATGAAATAAGGTAAATTAAACTACTTTTTATCAGAAATAATTTATTACAACAAAAAATAAACAGATTTATATTCAATTGACTTTGCCTATACTTTTTTACTTAAATAACTAAATAAATAAATTATTGTACTTCACAAATTCACATTATCTATACATTTCGTATCAATCGAAAGGACAATTTTCTTCGTGATCTACTTTCGCGCAAAACATACCCCTTGTTCTGAAACAATGAACTCTACAATTAAATAAAAATTAGTATATAACAGCTTCCCTGCCCGCGAAACAGACATAGTAGTTAAACAATTGAAATGTTTATATATAATACATAATACGTAAGACAACGAAAGGGTTAAAATACGTAAATAAATTAGACCTCTACTGCTCAAATACTCAAACCTTAAAGAGATTCTAATGGCCAAATAATTAAACGCTATTCAATTGTAAGATGTCATTTAGTCTCGTGGTGTAACATTCTTGACTTAAAGTGATAGTGACACCACGAGACTTAACGGCATTATAAAATTGAACGTATGGTCATTATGGTCATTTGAATTTCCTTAAAGTTACTTATAATAAGGATATAGCTAAGACAGATAAGAGCCCTGAAACAGATGAAGCTGTAAAGAATAAAAGGCTAACATCACAGATTAAAGATAAATGAAATAAGGAGGATGATCGTAGATGGCTATCTCCTTTTCAGTCGATTGCGCTAATATCTATTATCTGAGTCAAGAATGCCCTCGTGATTACAAGTGCTATTAAGCACCCGGAACATTGAAAAAAAAAGTTGAAATTGAACGAGATAAAACCCGTAAAATTAGTTTTATTGAACATTTAAATGAGCGTGATTTGTGTTCCCTCTTTGCGCACATTATCACCTTACAGGCTAAATGGCTTCTTAATCAGCAAATAGTGGGCATCAAGCGTATTGTCACAAAATGCTTGCAAAAAATAAAGTTGTTGAGCGTCAAGCGTCGTAAATTATCGGACATAGATTATTGGATCGAATTATTTATTTTACATCTTTCATGCTGTGAATCAAGTAAATAAAATGAGACGAATTAAAATAATATGCAAATTACATCTTTTTATTGTATTTAAACCTTATTTATTTAAAATTTTGAAATAATCATATCAGGACATACATTTTTATTTGCCTCTAAAATGATTGGCGTGCTCAGCAGAGCGGGACAATATTTCATGCCGGCACACCACTTGCAACTTTATAAAGTGCAGGTTCGGCCTCACATGGAATACTGTTCCCATCTCTGGGCAGGGTCTCCCCAGTGCCAGCTCCTTTCACTTAATAGTATCCAGCGCAGAGGGGTTCGAATCGTCAACGACCGTGTTGTTTCCGATCGGCTTGACTCACTGGCAGTGCGTAGAGATGTCGCATCTCTTTGCGTATTTTATCGCATTTATCACGGGGAGTGCTCTGAGTAATTGTTCGGACTAATTCCAGCCGCTCAATTTCGCCATCGCACAACAAAATCAAAACAACAACAACTAAACTCGCGATACCATCCATACCATCTGTGTGATTGGCGGTCTACCACAGTGCGATTTAAAAGAAATTTTCTCCCTCGCACAACCACCTTGTGGAAGTGATTTTTCCGGACCGATACGTCTTAGGGACCTTCAGAAAAAAAAGCCTACTCCTTCTTAAAGGCCGGCAACGCATCTGCAATTCCCCTGGTGTTGCAGTGGTTCATGGGCGGCGGTAGTCACTTACCATCAGGTGAGCCGCATGCTCGTTTGCCCCCTCTCCTATAAAAAATATATATATATAATGGCTTGTATCGAGCTCGAGCACCTCATTGTTGTAAGTGTTTACAGATCCCCATGTGCTACTTATGAATATTTTGAAAGGATTGTGGAAGCAGTTTTACTCAAACTTAGTAAACAAAACAAGTCTGTTGTAATATGTGGAGACTTTAACATCAATCTCCTTGAAACTTCTTCCATTTGTATAAAGGTTAGCTCATTGTTTAAATCGTATAATCTTATTACTTTATTCTTAGAACCAACACGTATTGCTGGGCCTAGTGCCTGTATAAATGAAATTTTTATAGATGTTAAGCCCTTGCATAAATCAATTATTCAAAATTTAAGTTCAGATTACTGTGGACAGTTGGAGTCACTACCTTACATACACATAAAACAGAAAAATAAGAAATTTGTGTTTGTTCCAATAAATGAACATCGCTTGGAAAGGTTTAGAAGTAATATAATAAAAAGACTTCCATCACTTTCGTTTAAAAATAGTGCTAATTATTGGTATGCTACATTTTTTTTTACTTATTATAAGCTAGTACTCGACCACAATCCCACCTGGTGGTAAGTGGTGATGCAGCCTTAAATGGTAAATCGCACTGTCTTATCGTAACAAAAGCCTATTCACTCTTGCCTTGAAGACGCCTAGATTGTATTCGGACGGAAAGATAGACGCCGGCAAATTATTCCACTCCTTTGCTGTACGCATTACAAAAGACGAAACAAACCCTTTGGTTCTAATGCGTAGAATATCGAGAACAAAGGGATGAAGACCCGCCGACCGTCTGGTTGTCCGATGGTGGAAAGGAGAGGGAGGAATTAAGGCGTGTAGTTCCTGCACACACTTACCGAAATGCATCCTATAAAATACCGAGAGACTGGCTACTCTGTGCCTGTGTTCGAGGCTGACAAGATTGGTTTAAACCAAATTAAGGTAATAAACCAAATTAAGGATATATCACAAGGCACGCCAGTTATATGCAAACGTCGACATATGCTCGCTGCGAGGTAACAGGAGCGCATAAAATGGCTGCAACGTGATCTACCTGTAACGAAAAAATTAAAAGTGGTTGTTTATTATTAATACTACTACAACTATCCATTTTCGCATGCATTCATTCATTCATTTATTCATTATTTCTCTCAATCATATATACATTCATTACAGCATGCCAAAAGTCCACTACCGAACACAGGCTTTCCATATAGATTCCCGATTGTCTCATAGAGAGGAATTTGTTTCTGCCGCAGTTGCAATGGTTGACAGGTGGGTTGACAACCAAAGTATTTTTATTTGTTATCAGAAAGGTGATGCTGCCCATCACCCATTTCGATTTCTTTCGTTGCCTCTTAGGATACTAACGGGATAATATAGTGTTGTGGATGAACTTATCCCGCCACAAGACAGGAAACGCAAGATGAATATAATCCAATTTCATTCCGTGTGTGAAGTAAGAGACGATTATAGAAAATAGCAGAAAGATCTTTTGGCTTTCGATAGATGGTACATTAACCAACCGGTTTACGTTAAACGTAGATTACAAGCGCTTAATACGTAGGCCTCCAAAGGTGAGCAGTGTCAAAGATGCGGGGAGTCTAATACAATCGCCAATGCGCCTGTCAAGCGTTCATTCTCCACACTACGGTAAAGATTCATATTCAAAAGTGGACTTTTACGCGATGATAAAGAAGAACAATTTAACGCTAGATATAAAAAATGCCTTAAATTGTTACTAATGTGAAGTAAAATATCATTCCACTGTCTTTGAATCAACTAATGTCACAAAACACTAGAGAAAGATCCTCCTTAATACTCAATGAAAACTACATGGTTTCGAAAAATTGTTATATCATGAAGTTTCATTTCTGAGGGGGGTTTAAGGCAAGAAGTGTTCACTGCGTTACCATAATGTGTGTTGAACGAACGAACGAATGAGCGAACATTACATGTCTTTGAAATATATTCTTTTTTTTCTCAGACATTGTTGGTTTTCTTATTGTTGATGTTTTCTGTCACCGAATTATGTGGGCTCCAGCCAGAGGTTGCAAAAAAAAGCAATCTTTATTTAATATATATTTAATTTACAGTAATTAATTCTTACAACTAAGTAAGGTGACTCTAATTCGATGTTTGAATCTAGAATGAATTCACACGGTAAAATATTAGAACCAGGTAATATAAGACAGTAGACACGTTATGCTGACGCGGCGCCTCGTGATTGTCGTAATTCGATGCGACGTAGCAGATTGCCTGGATTAGGGCTGCGTAACACCTCCCCCGAAGAACAGCGACTATGGAAGGCCTTGGTCGTGAATTGAACTGGGAGGTGATGGGGATTAATCTTCTCAGTGTCTGGAACAGCGTATACCCTTAAAGATTTAGGGTGGTCCTCTTCTGCGTTCCTTTGCGTACCTCCAGTTGGTTTCGGCTTGTATTTTCTATATAGTATGCATAGAATCAGCACGCCTGCACTTATTATTAATGCTTAAAATGGTATTGTAGTATGGTATAGGCTGTAGTCATTGTTTCTCCCTAGATTTACTTTCGATTGCTGGGATAGTTTAGTGTTCGTTGCATGAAGATGCTGAAGGTTTATTGAATTTAGTTTATATGCCGATACAGGAGATCGGATGCTGGTGTTTTCCTCAGGTATATCCATTATCTTTAAGGCTTGTCCCTTCAATCGATTTTGAGTTCGAGAATAGTGGCGTTTCTATGTAGCATTTCAGAGGGACAATAACGAGATAACTACCTTGAAGTATTTTGTAGATATCTTGTCCACAGGATAGATGTACTTTCGTTGGTGTAGGGAACGTGATGGTGAAATGCTTGTCGTCCAGTTCTTCGTAAGCTGGTTTATCTAGGGTGACCGTGAACGGATTACCAACTGCATTCTTTTTTGTTTAGTGATGAGGTGATGGATGCAATCAGGGAATGTTTGACCTCTCAGGCTCCACTTTCCCTTACCATTTACTAGTCTTCGGGCTTTCTGCCTCTATATACTGAAAATCTTTCTGATAAATGGCTAGGAATGGAAAGGATGGTGTGAGGATTTCGTGTTTCTTGTTAGGAACAATAGATAACTTATACATATAATATATATGGGGTAATAGAATTGGGAACTTAAATACTATTGCTATTCCATTTCCTAGATAATATGAACCTAATCTAATAATATCATAGTATTCTCTAATATCTAAATCTCTTACCTTTTGCTTCCATAAAGTTCGGTTGCTCTGTTAATCATTATTCAGACAGATTTTAAATTAACTTTAGAGTGGTGCATAGTGTTAGCTCTTATAAATGCTAAGTTATTCTGTAACTTATTTAATTCCTGTGAGATGGAATCAACGTTATCAATAAGGCTCTTTAGTACTTGTCCAAAATGGGCATATTTAATTAAGTCGTAGTCTCTGATGGCCTCGCATTGATAAATTTACTTATTAATATTTCCAATTTATTTTGATTATGCACAATGCTATCTATTATTTTGGAGTATTGATTTGTTAAATCTTTAGTTAGGCTTACATGATTATTAAATTCCGTAATGATTTTATTTTAGTCTTCGCGGATGGATTTTATAGTGCTATTAAAATGATCTGCATATGTACGATAACATCTATAAGTCCTCTTTTCTCAATGATCGTTTTAAAGCTTCCCAACTGTATGGTGACACTTTCAAGCTTATTTTTAAGGTAATCAATATGAGACTGAAGTTAGGAATTAGTTGTATTGTTAAGGATAGGGCTAATACTGCTTAACTGTATTTTAACTGAATTTGCTTTATCCCCTAATTCTTGGAGACAGTAATATTGCAGAAATGCATGGTAGTGGGATAGGATTCGAGCGGGGCCTAATTTGAAAGTTAATATACCAGGTCCATCACTAAGACTTTCAAATCTTATCTCCTGCATTAGAGCTGGTCCCAAAAGGAGATTACCAGGAAAGTCCCGTAACAATTGGTTCGTTTAAGGTATTCTCTTCAATCGGGTTTTTGCTATGGGGCCTCGTTTTTTCTTTGTATAAAAGTGAATTGGGAGATTTGCCATTACTGTGTTGTGTGTGTATCGAGGAGCTAATTTCTGACGGGATGCGAATGGGTTTTTTATAAAGATTTGTGGTTCCGGGGAATATTCAGCTTCCTGTTCGCGGTTTTTATGGTGAGTATTAGTCAAGTCTACGTACGCATGTCGTTACATAGGTCGTGAATAGTTTTATAGGTCTCAATTATTCTGTCTTTGTGGTTTACGACGTACTGTTGAAGTAAGTGGGCGGACAGTAAGGCGGCATCTGGGGTGGTAGTTTGGGTCTCCATCCCTGTGCAGCATGCGGTTGCATAGGTGGCTGTCTAAACAAGTTCAGTTTATTATTACCCTGTGGTACGGCATGTTAAACGCGGTAGGTTTTGGAAGGAAATTATTTAATGTTGTATTAGAGCTAGGGATAGGTTGAGTCCATTCCATCCTGTTTTGACTGCCTTCTTTCGTTATTGGAGGTAGAGAGTGTTTAACTGCTCCTGCACGAATTCAAGTACTTTCCCCATACTATCGGGTCGCATACACCTTATTCTAGACCTAGGGGGTCTTTTAATCCGCATAAATAAGCTTGCAATGTCAGATTTTTATAGAGTGCGCGCTTAGCTTCCATGGTCGTACTAACCGTTTCATGTAGGGTGACATCGGTCATTATCGTACTAAATAAACTTCGAACTCGCTCTTAAAATTCTTTCGGGGTACTAGACCCTTGGGTTTGTAGTGATAAATCGCTGTATAATGCAGTTTCGTCGCGATGGTCGGCGAAGTTATTTATAAGAGCGCTTTTGATGCCGGCCCAATTTTCTGGTATTCCATTTGAATTTATTAGCCTAACCGCGGGCCCAGTTAATTTATTTAAAATCCCCTTAATAAGAGATAGATTGGCTAGTTCGTATTCGGGCTCATTTCTTACCTGAGCTAAGACCAGTTGATCGCACAGGTTAATAAAGCGCGTAAGGATGTACGGGTTACCGTCAAATTCGGGCAAAGCTCTAAGCGACTTATAAATTAGATCAATTTCATTTGATTGAGCCATACTAATGGTTTCTAAACCTCTATTCTCGTATATAATACTAAGCTTAGAAGTCCTACTACTATCTAACCTAACGTTCCGTATTCCCTTTGGATGGAAAATTTTGGAAGTTTTATACTGACACAGTTAAAATGCAATAAAATGCAATAAAATAAAAAGTGTATATAACATTAGGATAAAGTAAAGAATAATAATTATGAAACTAGGAAGGGTAAGGATTGAAAGAATCAAGCACTTACAGCATTACTTCTTCTTGCGGAATCAATGCCTCGCCTTTGAACTGGTGCTCCCGCAGGTTCTGTATCTTCTTTGTCACTCTTGATTCACTGACTCTACTTTAGAAGATCCTATCGACTGCGCCAATTATGTAGTCTCCAGCCAGAAGTTGAAAAAAAAGCAATCTTAATTTAATATATTAAATATATATAAAATTAAGATTGCTTTTTTTTACAGTAATTATTACAATTAATTCTTACAACTAAGTGAGGTGACCCTAATTCAATGTTTGAATCTAGAATGAATTCACACGGTAAAATATTAGAACCAGGTAATATAAGACAGTAGACACGTTATGCTGACGCGGCGCCTCGTGATTGTCGTAAGCCGATGCAACGTAGCAGATTGCCTGGTTTAGGGCTGCGTAACAACCTCCGAGCACGCGGTAAATCAACACTTAAAATTGCAAGTAACAATTTTCTGGTACCAAATAAAAAAAATTTATCAGAAAAAATTATAACGAAACGTTATGGATAAAATACCTGTCAGCGAACCACAAGTTTTAACTTTCGCATCTACCTACTAAACCTACTATCGATGTTATAGTTGCTTACGTCGAATATATAATACTATCGATAAATTTTTTTTTTTATTTAAAATCTTTATTGTACTAACCAATAAAAAGGTTACAAAGAGATTGTTCTTCCCTCCGTTTTATTAAATCAGTTTGTTATTAGTAAGCGTTATAATATTCTATATCTGTATGCTGTCTGACTACTCGGACAAACGTTCTTCGAAATGGTTGAATCGATTGTGATGAAATTTATATCCTAGGCTTATCCGAAAAACATGCAGGTTATTGAGTTAAATTGAAAAACGGATAAAAAAAGGGTTTTGATCTCTTAAGCTTTTAGAAGTGAAGTAAAGTGGTACACATTACTTCTTACTCTTTGTTTTAATGAAAATACGATTTTTATTATTTCTACCCCAACACCAATTAACTACAAAACTACATATGTTAAAGGATAAAGTTATAAAACCTTTTAAGTGAAATTAATAGATCTTCATATTTTTATTTTAATATGTTCTCTTATAACATATACTTTTTGAGATTGTAGCGAAAACCTGAGTTTTAAGTGGTTTTTCGATAAGCTCAAAAACCACTATTATAGATCTGCAGATTTTGTTTAAGTATCACGCAGACATAGTCATGGGTAAAAGCTAGTAAGAAAAAAATTTACCTGCAGATAAAATGAGAAAGTTTAGATTCGTATTATCACGCATGAAATGTCCTTTACAGTCAGGTTGTCTTTGTCCACCATTGATACAGAAATCGACGTGACCAACGGCACCCACCTCACCGAGGAATCCAGCGTTTGTATGGAAAACTTGTACTACACATGTGTCCTCTCGACCCAAGCGAAAACGACGGGACCCATATTCACTGACTAAAGGACGAGCTGGATCAAGTCCTAAAATGTAAAGAAATAAACAATTGTATTGTTGTTTAGATAGAAAATGTTCACATTTGCACTATATGTAATAGTGCAAATGTGAACATCTTCAAATCTTTCAGTCTTTAAATCTTTAAATAGTTTATCCACTACTCCCTATTATCCCGTGAGTGTCAGTGAAAAGAAAAGAGTGAAGAGGCAGCAGAGGAATACGAGACAGGAGATGGGCAGCAGTATCTTCCTGATAACACAAAATGATAAAAAACTGCGGTTGCCAACCGACTTGGCAAGTAGGAAACTATAGTAAATATTTCCCCGTGAGATAAACTACGGCGAAGGCTTATGTTCAGCAGTAAACTTTGACAGGCTGTTTTGATGACACATTTTTTTATTATTTCAACGATTTCATAATTTTATTTATGAAAAAATGGAGTCCCACCAGTCTTTTTTTTTATAGAATGAGGGTGAGAAACGAGCATACAGCACCTGATGGTAACTGGATGCTGTGGCTAAAAGACATTTAAATGGAATGCCTCGTTTCCAGTAAAAAGGGTCTCTGGTTCCCTGCACGCACCATGCGAAACACAGCAACATTAAGCTGCTATTTTACGCTGGCATTTTGTGAGAGCGTGTTCCTACCTCGGTCGAGCCACCCCATTCCTGCTACAACCATAATATAGCTGCAGCGTGGCTCTACCATGTAACAAATAGGATAAAGTAATGAAAAAAAGTTAAAAATATAGGTAAATAGGTAGTATATGATTAATGCTAAACGTATTTATATTACAGCCAGCAGTACAGACGGTGGAAAGTGACTTGGAACTTGGGAAGTTTTATACTATGTAGGTATTGTAATTTTTGAAACGAAGTTACTTATCGGACGGTACAAATTTAACGGATGGGGGCTAGGCGAGAAAAAGTGTAAGACTTTTCCATCACGAACCCTTCAGACGTAGTGTAGACGGCCTTGGCTGCTATAAGGAAGCGAGATGAAATAATGTCCATCTACATCGCACATTTGCTTATCTTGCCATAAAAGAAATATTATATTATTTTAAATGACGCTTCATTTTAACAAATACAAACTAGCGTTTCCCGCCGCGTTTAAGTCACTTCCCGCCGTCTATACGCTTAGATCTTTTTAAACTACGCAACCGATTTTGATGAGGTTTTCATCAATAGACAGAATGATTGAAGAGAAATGTTTATGTGTATAATACATGGATATCGGGTAAGATACAACTCTCGCAATTCAAACTAAAGTTTAAGATTTAACAAAAAATTAACTGAATCAGATCAGGATATTGCAATGGTTTTTGAGAAATATTTTAGTGATATTCCAATTTTAACCACTAAGTCACTGAATTCTTCTCCTGCCGTCGCCGGATCATTACTTAAACAAAATGTAAATGCGTGTACAAATAATTTCATAAAATTTCATCATCATCATCATTACAGCCTTTCATAAGTACACTGCTGAACATAGGCCTCCCTCAAGGAATGCCACAAAGCACGGTCCTGAGCCACCTGCATCCATCGACTTCCTGCATGTCTTACTAGGTCGTCACTCCATCTAGTGAGAGTACGCCCTGCATTTCGTCCACCGGTACGACGCCGCCACTCGAGAAACTTTTTTCCCCATCGGTTGTCGGTTCTTTGAGCTATATGGCCGGCCTATTGTCACTTCAACTTACTAATCCTTTGGAATATGTCCGTCACTCTGGTTCTACTGCGGAATTCCTCATTTCTAAGTTTATCACGCAGAGAAACTCCGAGCAGAGTCCTCTCCATAGCCCGCTGAGTGCCATTGAGCTTCCTCATCCAGCCAGCAGTGAAGGACCACGTCTCAGTTCCATATAGAATATCACTGGCAATACGCACTGGTTGTACAGTCTCCTTTTCAAGTTTTGAGGTATACCTGATGAGAAGATGTGCCATAATTTCCCGAACGTTGCTCAGCTGATTTGAATGCGTCGATTGACCTCTCGGTCGAAGTTGGACTTATCTAGTCGGACTATTTGTCCCAGGTAAACATACTCGTCAACAACTTCGAGCTTAGTGCTCCCAACAACTACCGGCATAAGTGTGACATGGACATTAAACATGATCTTCGTTTTGTCCATGTTCATCCTAAAACCTATTCGTTGGGAGACACTATTGAGGTCATTGAGCATGGTGCTTAGGTCCTCCAGCGATTCCGCCATAAGGACTATATCGTCGGCAAATCGAAGGTGAGTGATGTACCGTATCCTTTTCAGTCCAGAAGCTTGAAAACGTCTTCCAATGGAGCGGTGAAGAATTTCGGGGATATAACATCACCCTGTCTTACACCTCTCTGCAATTGGATAGGTTTCGTACTCTGGTTCTGTACTCGGATAGCCGTCGTAGCTCTACTGTACAAACACTTCAGCACTTCTATATACCGACAGTCAACTTGGCACCGCTAAAGGGACTGCAGCACCGCCCAAATTTCGACGGAATCAAAGGCTTTGTCATAGTCCACATACGCCAGACATAGTGGCAAATTGTACTCCTCGGACTTCTGTACAATTTGCCGCAGGGTATGTATGTGGTATATGGTGCTAAAGCCCTTTCGGAAACTGGCTTGTTCGGGAGGCTGGAAGTTGTCAAGTCTGCGCGCGAGATGATTCGTAATGACTCTCGAAAACAGCACGTAGATGCGGCTCAGAAGGGAAATCGGTCTGTAGTTCCTCAAGAGAGTGTTGTCATCTTTCTTGAAGAACAAGACCACACTTCTGCTCCACGCCTCCGGTGTAACGCCACCATGGAGGACAGAATTAAAGAGCCTCTGAAGGACTTCAAGTACCGGTTTTCCACCCGCTTTCAGAAGCTCCGCTGTAATTCCATCCTCGCCTGGGGCCTTGCTGTTTTTAAGGTGCTGAAGAGCCATTCTAATCTCGCTCAGACTGACGTACGGGATATTTTCGGAATAGTGTCGGATAAGACTCGCTCTTGGATCGTTACTCACACTTGCGTGTAGTTCCAACGATGACGTGTACAGCTGCCCATAGAACCTCTCAATCTCACTCAAAATCTAAGGTGCTCCGGAAATGATGCTGCCACATTCGGTCTTCAGCTTTGACAGTTAGCTCTTTCTGGCAGACAGATCTCTGGCAAAGACTTTGGAGCCTTGGTTCCGCTCGATCGTTTCTGCAATACAAGCTGTATTGAAGTTGCGTTAGTCCCGCCGCATGCATTTGGAGATCTGTCTGTTTAGTTGCCTGTATGCCGTCAAATCTGTTGAAGAATGCGGCTTCATCTCCCGTCTAACAGTCATGATATTGAGAGTGTGATCGGAGAGTTTTTGTGTTCGTCTGCGGTGGGTCGTGCAGAACTTAGCTCCGACCGCACGGACAGTTTCCACGAGCTTGTCATTCATATCGTCCACTTCATTGCAGTCTTCTAGGCACTGAAAACGGTTTTGTAACTCGAGCTGAAAGGTTTCAGGACTTTGGAACAGAGCACGAGGGGGACGGAGCGTTAACTTCATTAGACGAGACTTCTCCAACGTTTAGGTTCAGTGTGCCTCTAACCATTCGGTGATCGCTACCAGTTTTCACCCTCGCGATCACGGAGACATCACTGACCAGTCGTCTTGTCGTCATAATGAACTCAATCTCATTTTTTGTGGAACTGTCGGGGCTCGACCAGGTTCGCTTCCTGTGGGGCCGCTTCTGTATGTGTGTGTCTTCTTCTGCCGCTAAAATTTACATTTCATAAAATATTATCAAAAGATATTTAAAAATATTTTAAAACTATCGATATTAAGAAAACTGCAGATCTGTGGGAGATTTCCGTTAAAGTTATTGCGTCTATAATATATATAATCGCGCCTCATCTAGCTATTCTATTATAATCTTAAGATGGTAAGTTTAATAAAGTAATTGTTTAATACTAGTATCGAATATGGTATGTTTTCTGATTTAATGAAACATAGAAAAGTAATACCTTTATTCAAATCTGGTAGTACATTAGACCCCGCCAATTTTAGACTAATTTCTGTACTGCCAACACTTAGTAAAATTTTTAAAAAATTATTCTTGATCAAATGTAATTTTTTTTAAATGTAAATTTCAAATCATAAAAATCAATTCTGTTTCACAAGTGGTCGATCGATAACTGATGCTTATGTTGAGCTGATTAAATATATTTTCAATTCATGGGAGAATTCACAGGATGCTTTGGGTATATTTTGTGACCTATCCAAAGCCTTCCATTGTGTTCACTATGAAACATTAATCAGGAAACTACAACACTACGATGTAAGAAGTAATGCTCTTAAATTAATTGTTTCATATTTAAGTAACAGAATGCAAAAATTTGTCATTATTAACATGAGCTCTTCCGGGTCAAAACTACAAATGGGCGTGCCTCAAGGCTCAATTCTCGGTCCCTTTCTGTTTTTTGTATATATTAATGACTACTTATAGTAGGGCATAACCATAATATTATATTATTTGCTGATGACACTTAATTAATTTTCAAATTAAAATGACAGTTATTAAAATATGACGTAGTAAATAATGCTATATCTAAATTAATAAATTGGTTTAATGTTAATAACTTGCATTAAAACGGTACGAAAACAAAAAGTATAAAATTTATGGCTCCAAATGTCAAACTACTAAATACTAATGTAATTTTAAATGGGTAGGAAGTGAGTCTTGACGATACCACCATTTTCATGAAATAACACTAGACGCGAAGTTTCAATGGAGCCCCTATATATCAAAATTAACAACCAGACTTAGTTCTGCAGCATAAAATAAATGACTAAATATATTTGTTGTAAAAATTTAAATAGCTAACGAGTAAAACATTTGAGCATAAACTAACAAACAAAATGCTTTCATAACATAATAATTAAACCTAAACAATGTACAAAACCACAAATCTACACAGAAAATTTCATTAAAATCAATTGACAAATAAAGTAATTGTCAAAATAAGGCGTCAAATTTACTTATTCAGTCACTCATTAGTAGTTCAGTTAGCCTGCCAGCTACTATTCCAAGGGACCAGCAAGTCGCCCAACTGTTAGCCGACTTGCTGGCATCTGGGGATAGGTCGGCTAGTGGCTGACCTCATGGAGAAAGTGGGACTCTTTTTGATGAACTCTTTCTTCCAAATGTGGCCTAATAGAAAGTAGACCTAGTCGTGCCCGGACGGTCTTACAAAGAATGAGATTGACTTCATTATGACGATTAGACGGCAACTGTTCAATGATGTCTCAGTAATTGCGAGGGTGAAAACTGGAAGCGATCAGCGAATAATGAGAGGCACACTGAACCAAACGGTTAAGTTGGAGCGATCACGTCTAATGAAGTCTACGATCCGTCCCCCTCGTGCTCTAATCTAAAGCTCCGAAAACTTTCAGCTTGAGTAAGAAAACCGTTTTTTCGAACGATATGAATGACAAATTCGTGGAAACTGTCCATGCGATCGGAGATAAGCTCTGCAGGACAAGTCACAGAAGAACACAACAATTCTCTGATCACACTGTTAGACGGGAAATAAAACTGCTGTCGTCAGCAGATTTTACAGCATACAGTCAACTGAATAGACAGATCTCCGAATTCATGCGGCGTGACTTACGCAACTATATTACAGCTCATATTAAAGAAGCAATTGAGCGGAATCAGGTCTCTAAAACCTTTGCCAAAGGTCTGTCTGCTAGAAATAACCAAATGTCGAAGCTTAAAACCAAATGTGGCAACATCGTATCCGGGATATCGGAGCTTTTGAGTGAGATTTAAAGGTTCTATGGACAGCTGTACACGTGATCGCTGGAGCTACACGCTAGTGTCAGTAACAAGCAAAAGCAAGTCTTATCCAACAGTATACCGATGATATTCTGGACGTCTCAGCGACATTAGAATGGCTCTCCTGCACCTTAAAAATGGTAAGTCCCCGGGTGAGAATGGAGTTGCGGTGCTTCTGAAAGCGGATTGTAAACCGGTATACTTGAAGTCCTTTAGGAGCTCTTTAATTCCGTCTCTGCATGGACTGCGTATTCTCGAAAAAAATAAAATCCTTTATTATCTACCAGCTCTGGAGTACCTATTCCTTACTTATTATAAACCAGTACTTGATTACAATTCCAACTATTTTAGGGCACCTTGCACCTTGCACCTACGTGGCATTTTGCAGCACCAACCAATACGTGGCAACAGTACTCCATGTACGACCGGACATGCGCTTTATATAAGGTAAGAAGCTGCCCCGACGTATAGTACCGCTGCACTCTTGCAAGGAAACCTGGTTTCCTTGCGGCTGCTTTGACCCGGGACGCAACGAACTGCCTATAGTTGAGGTTCGGAGAAAATTCAATTCTTAACAACTAAATTTGGTCAGTGTACATTACACAATTTGATCATTGATTTATACTTAGCTTTGACGTGCCTTTGAACAAAGATACGCTGCAAGTAAAACTATCTTTGTATGCGGCACTCAAATATATTTTTTATTCTAAGTGTGATACTCTTGTCCACGACACTCATTTCTCAACGACTGAGAAGCCTCGTGTGTTTGACAGAACTCGAACCTTTGAAAACATTACTAATAAGAAATAAAATCTACAGTTAAGGGTAATTACTTTATTAAACCTAACACCTCAGGATTATTATAGAATACGCATGATAACCAGCTACCGTCATTACTACCAACAACGTCAAATGTCTTCACACCAGCAAATTATACAGGTAAGTATACATACAAATGTTCATTTTGTGGAGACGGTCATGCTATTAACCATTGTAAAACATTTTTACCAAAATCATCGCAAAACGGTATGATTATACGAGGCAAAATCGATGCTGCTTTAACTGTTAATTATTCTCACATAGTCATAAGCACTGCGCGTCTACATATATTTAGATGTCATAAATGTCACCAACGCCACGATACTTTACTAGACCTAGATTCTACTGAAACAACTGGTGAATTTGAAGAATGTTATGTTCGCGGACGGAGCGCAGGGGACTAGTTAAACACTCAACGGCTGTCGATGTACTGCTTTAATTGCAAACATTATTATTGGGTGCGGACGCAGCCGCGCACAGGTATAATACACAACATTCCTCCCCCTATAGTGAGGGTTTTATAATATGTAATACCTTATATAAAAAAACTAACATATTAAATATATTTAAAACATACTAAAAAAACTTTTTATAGTCAACCTTAGGGCGATTTCGTTTTAATGGCACTTGATACTCTTGTGCCCGTGATACCTCTTCTTCATCATCCGACGACTGTGGACGCCGAACTCCTTGCGTTACTGTTATATGTGAGGGTGATCGTGATTGGCGGCAAGAGTCATTAGAATTCGTCAAGTTCTCATTAGAAGTCTCAGCTGCAGGGACAGGTGTTAATATTCTGTCCTCGTGCCCATCCCCCTCTCCCAGCTCGCGAACTTGGTCATGACATTGCAAATCTGGCGGTAATATAGGTACGCATGACGCCGGTGGCGATACTGAACTACCTGGGGTATCAGGGCTGAGAACATCTAGCTCCCAAGGTCTACTTGCATTAATGGTGCCTTTATATAAAATTATTTGACTTACATGTTTTTTTACAACAGTATTTAACAAAGAGTCTCGTATTAAGTATATGATTTTACCAAGTTTTTGTATAATTACGCCTTTACACCAATTGAACTGATTTTTATTCGAATATTTTTTATATAAAACATATTGTCCGGGTAAAAACATTTTTTCTTTCCCACCATGCGACTTAACCTGTGAACACTGTTTTGATCGGACTGTTTTAGCGAGTGAGGAAGACAGGGGCGGCGATGGTGCTGGCTTTAATATATCTAACCTCGATCTCAATTTACGACCAAAAACTATTTGCGCGGGAGATAAGCCCGTAGTGGAATGGACCGAATTGCGGTAGTCGAAAATGTACTTTAAGAGATTTAAATTACATTCTCTAACATTATTGCTGCTCAACAAACTAGACTTAATACCCCTTTTTATTACCTTTACGTAGCTTTCAGCTTGTCCATTACTTGCCGGGTGGTAGGCAGGTGACGTAATATGCGTAATGCCGTTAAGATGACAAAAGTCTAAGAACTCCCGGGAGCAAAACGATGTTCTATTATCAGTCACTATAGTCTCTGGAAGACCGAACCTTGACATGAATTCATATAATTTATCTATAACTGCGATGGAAGCACAAGTAGTATTCATGCGGCAGACTTCGACCCATTTGGAGTACGCATCAACGATCACCAAGTACATATGTCCGTTGATGGGGCCGAGGAAATCGAGGTGTATTCTTCGGAAAGGGTCAGCAGTATATTTCCACGGGGAAATATGTACGCGCGGTGGCGCTGCTCGTAGTTGCATGCATATTTCACAAGAGCCAATCATACGCTCAAGGACGCCGTCAATACCTGGAAACCAAAACCGAGAGCGAGCTTCGGCTTTAGTTTTAACAACACCCATATATGATGTATGTAGCTCCGATATCACTCTATCACGTAACGATCCAGGGATAACTATTTTATGACCACGCATAAGGCAACCATTTTCATATGACAGTTCTAATTTGCATAAACTATAGGGTTTTATCTCTGGATCATTAACTTTTTTTGGCCATCCCTCTAAAACATAATGTATGACCTTTTTCATAATGCGATCTTTATTTATTGCATCACGTAACGCCTGTAGGGTTATTGGTATCGCGCCCTTAACAACGAAATTAACGTACGCTGCGCGGTCGTCGATATCGGCGGTTTCCGTGTAGCCCGCGTTTGAATCCCCGCCCGTGCCGCTACTGCTCGCATCGGCGCCCAGGAGGCTGAAACGCGACAAGTAGTCTGCACTGTTATCCGAACTCTTAACATATTCTATCGTGTAATTATATCCGCTTAGAAATAAAGCATATCTCTGCAAACGGTTGGCCGATACCTCCGGAATTCCTTTGTATGGCCCAAAAATTGATAATAACGGTTTGTGATCCGTACGTAGAATAAAAGGCGTAGACCTACCATATAAATATTGGTGGAACCTCCGTACTCCAAATACGAGCAGTAACTTCTTTTTGTATTTGAGAATACCTTTTCTCGGCATTATTTAACGTCCGTGATGCAAACGAGAGTGGCTTTTCAATACCTGCACTATTTTTTTGCGATAATATAGCACCTAACTCGTTAGGTGACGCATCCACGGTTAGTATAATTGTTTCATTTGGATTAAAATGTGTTAAAATCTGTTCCGAGGATAATATTTTTCTTATATTGTCGAACGCTTCGTTTTCTACTTTAGACCATTTCCATTTTATTTCCTTTTTTAATAATTGGTAGAGGGGGGATAAAATAGATGATGCGTTTGGAACAAAACACCTGTAGTAATTGACGAGGCCTAAAAACGATTGTAATTGGTTAACATTTGTGGGGATTGGCGCTTCTAATATAGCTTTAACCTTTTCCGGTGACTTCTTTAAACCGTTTCTATTTATGACGTATCCCAGGTAACTTATTTCGTCTTTAAAAAAACTGCACTTATTTTTTTGCAACGTTAAGCCCGCGTCTTGTAATCTTTGTAGCACCTGGTGTAGCCTGTCTAGGTACTCGGCATCGTCTTTGCCGGTTATCAGAATATCATCCAGTAAAAAATGTACTCCATTTAATCCTGCTAGTACATATTCCATTGCACGCTGGAAAATAGCCGGCGCACTAGCTAAGCCGAAAACTAAACGTGTATAAGAAAATAAACCCCGATGGGTATTGATACAGGTTAGCTTTTGAGATTCTTCATTTAGGCAAAATTGATTATACGCCATTGAGAGGTCAAGCTTAGTAAAGTATTGGCCCCCATGTAACTTAGAAAAAAGTTCATTAACCGTCGGCAATGGATATTGGTCTATAACTAACTGTTTGTTTAAGCTAACAGAATAATCTGCACATATTCTGACAGAGCCATCGCGTTTTAATACGGGTACGATTGGGGATGCGTATTCAGAATAACTAACCGGACGAAGTACACCTAGATCGACCAACCTCTTTAGTTCGCTATCTATTTTATCCCTCAAGGCGAAAGCAATAGGACGCGCCTTAAAAAAACAATGGCTTAACGTTCTCTTTCAAGGTTAACTTAATTTCATATTTATTGAAACACCCAAGTTCTCCCGAAAATATCTGAGGATAACGTATATGTAGCGTTTCAATTTCATTCTGTGTTTGCTTACAATAATGTATTGGCGTCAGTTGAAGTTCGAAACGTGCAATAAAATCCCTACCGAGCAGTGGCGGGCCGCCATTACGAACTACATAAACGTCTAGCATACACGTTTTGCCCCGCCACTGAAGCGACATCTGTACACGGCCGGCACAACCTAAAACTTCACCGGTATAACTCACTAATTTCTTTTTAGTGAACGATAATAGTACATCGTGGAAATGCAATTTATATGTTCTTTCCGATATCACGGTCACCGCCGATCCGCTATCGATTTGAAATTCTAAATCTATGCCATTGACAGTAACGGTTTCTACTAAAGGCTCGCCCCTAACTGATCGTATATTAAATATCTTACCGTCATCGCTGTCCTCGCCCACCTTACTCGTATTTACGTAATTCACCTTTTTGCACATTCTACGCAAGTGTCCTTTCATATTACACTTTTTACATCTGTAATTAGCGAAACGACACTCCGACGCACTGTGACTCGTATAACCGCATACCGCGCACTTTTGACGAGAACGCGCGCATTTTGAATCCTGACCAATTTTGTATAGCTGGTCCGTGGTGGCATCGGTGACGACGGTAGTGGTGGCAGCGGCGCTGGCGGCAATCGCCCGCGCGCTTAGTACGTTCTCCGCTAGCTCAACAGCTTTTGCTAATGTTATACCCGAAATATCCTGCGTATGTAACTTTTCTTTTTCCACTCCTGGCAGCATACCCATAATAAACCGGTCCCTCAGTGCCTCCTCCACATTGGAAAATTGGCAGTGAACGGTTAGGCCGCGCAGTCTAGCGGCCCACTGCGACGGTGACTCGGTGGGCTGTTGGGTAGCGGCATAAAAATTGTGGCACTCGCTAAATCCAACCTGCTTCGGTGTGAAATAAGTATCCAAGATGGTTAGGATATCCTCAAACGGAATTTGCTGGAGATCCTTTAGTACAGCGAGATCTGAGGCAAGCTTAAACGTACCATCGGCGAATGCGCTGAGCAGAATTGCTCACCTTTTAACTCCTGCAGCATCATTTGACGCATTTATGTCCTAATGGTAAGTGGATGCTGTGGTCCATAGACATCTACATCTATCCATGATTAAGAATCCAAATTCAGATGCGTTGTCACCCCTGAGGACTATGATGGATTGCTTGATTTTCATTAAAAAGGGTCTCCGGTTCTCTACACTCATTAAGTTGCTATTTTGCTGTTATTCTGTGAGAGCGTGGTCTTCCTTAGTAGAGCCGACCCATTCAAGTTGTAACTAAAATATAGCTGCCGCAGGGCTCTACCACGTAAAAAAGTGGGATAGATAATAGCGATCTATGGGCCATAGCACTTACTATCAGGTCGAAGTGTATGCTATTTTGTCACCTTTACTTTAATATTAATAAAACGGATACTCTCATTTTCTCCTTATAAGGAATTACCGAATCTATATACCACCTTTAACCTAGAAAACCGCTAGTTGATATAAATCGAGTAAAATGCGTGCAGGAGAGGTTGGCAGTTAAGCTGTTTCACCACTTTACACCCGAATAAAAATAAATTTTTGTATTTCTATTACTTTAGCTGTTCCTGTAAGCCGTAGTAGATCAGGGGGCTAAGCGCTCACCATAAGTCGCTAGCAACACACTTTCGCGGCCAGGCAGCACTTATTAAATTTCTATTAAACACCGTGAGGAAACCTGCATGTGTAAGAAATTAAAACCAATATTTCGACGTCATGTAAAGTCCGCCAACATGCACTGGGACACTTTCTTGCCGCTGCAACTTTTTATTGCGTTATAACGCATTTTTACAAGAAGAAATAAATCAAAATGAAATCCTTTGTAAGTAACAATAACAAGTAACAACAGTGCGATAGGGTAACTTATGGGAATCGTGGTTGGCTTGGTTTTGATGTTGTTCTTTGATTTTGCTAATATGTCATTTTCGATAATAATGACCTCCAAATCGAATTTCGGTCACGACGGACATCCTCGACGGAGACTTCCCAATTGCGCAGGACAAGATTATAGTGCACGAGGAGGGTATGCGCAAGCATGGATGCACTCTCTATTACCTTATTCTCATACACAACTGGTAAGATATCAGGCGCATTCTGAGAATTTCTTAACAGAAAACTCCAATAACTGATTTTAATCAGCAGTCGCACTTACGACCACTAGACTTACGAGACAGTCTATTTTATCCAATAAATCAATTAAATATATATTTATATTCTCACGTAAATTGAAGCGAACGGTCTTTATGTCATTTTAACAGTTACTCTTACAAAGGGAATTTCGTTATTTGGAACACGCCGATAGATAAGTTGCAGATGAAATAATAAAATTATTTCCTATTTTTAGAAGCCACAAAATGCATAGCAACTGCCTACTTAAACCTCCTACCCCCTCGGCCGACAAGTCATCTGAAGCTTTTAAATTTAATCATAACTAATCTATACATATCTATACATATAATAAATCTGCAGAAAAGTTGTGTTTGTAATTCTAATATGTTCTGGAATAAACAAGTCCAGGCTACTAAATAAAGGTCGCTGAAGGTAAATTAGTTGTTTTTTAGAATTTTTGTCTGTCTGTCTCTGTGTATTCCCGATTCACGCAAATACTACTGAACAGACTTTCATGAAATTTTGTGTGTAGGTAATTAAGAACCCGGGGCAGCTTATAGGATACTTTTTATCCGATTACGAAACTTCAAAAAAGGAGGGTTAAGTATTTTCCTTCCTTTAGATGTTAATTTCCATTTTATATGATTGATGTGTTTTTTTAAATAAATAAAATATTTATAAATAAAAGCTAAAATTAGTTTTAACTGTTGCATAATAAATTAACTACGCCGACAATCTCCGTTTCACTTTTTCAAAATAGTGCCGTCTAACGTAAAATACAAAAAACAGTAACATTTTGCCTCCAGTTACTAATAAATGAAATAATATAAATAACTTACAATTATGTTTAAATAATTAAATTCATTATTTGAAAACACTAACGTAGTTTTTTTTAGTCTTTCTACTCTAACTAATTACTACTTAAAGAGATAATAGTGACATCAATCGAAAATCAGAAAATTTGAGATGTTTCTAAGTTTAATTTCTAATCTATAAAATAGTTTTAGTAGCTATTAGGTTTCTTATCTATAAATAGTCTAATAAATCTGCAATTATTACAAATCTTATTATCCTTATAGTTTGAATAAAGAGATTTTATATATGTAAGCAGAAAATTTTACAGTTTTTGTTGACTACAATATAATGATATAGCTTGACCAAATCAATGAATAGAGATCGTTTGGCGATATTAACAACTAAACACAACATTGCTATTTCTAGATATTTTTATATCGTAAAATAATTTCATTACACACCGCTAGCAGCGCTGAAGCAACATTTTTAATAGAATCTGCATCACTTTATGCCTAATTTTTGTATTAATAAATGTTCCCGACTTTGTTGTGCGATTCAGCCACACCAGTCACATCTCAACTTATTGTGGCTGAGTACTAGAGGGCAAAGTTTTAGTTTTCTTAGTTTAATCTAATAATAGCGCCATCTACTTATTGCTAAAGAAACTAATAAGTAACTGATCAAATTAAATATAATTATATTAAATACTTATTGCTGCAGCATCGAAAATTGTCAGCCTTAAAGTATCCAGACTGATGGCCACTGTCTGACTGAGTTATCACAAAGCAGAGTCACAAAGTATTATTAATCACAAAGTTTAGCAAAATTACATGGCTAATATTATATTTCTATTCCCGTTCACCAATTCGATTCCCTCCATAGATTGCCAAATAAGTTGGATATTTGCCATAGTTGCCACGCTTGGCATGCGAGTTGCCAACTCCATATTTTTATTATTTTGCTTAGCTGTGTTCAGAAAGACTATGCTGCCCATCTTCTCTATCTTTCTAGTCACGTTCATGAATATAGTTTTTCTCACACTTTCACCATGAATAGAACTACTTTTATGCAATCTAGAAGTCTACTTGAACGTAAAAGAACACTGGCATGTATTTTATGGTGCCAATCAATATTAAACGGGCCAATAATTTGAATCAAATAATATTTGTGTTATATGATTACACTACTAAAGTAATAAAGACTAACAAATTCAATATTATTTTGTCAAGACTAAAAACAAAAAGATAACATTCCTCCCCCTATAGTGAGGGTTTTATAATATGTAATACCTTATATAAAAAAACTAACATATTAAATATATTTAAAACATACTAAAAAAACTTTTTATAGTCAACCTTAGGGCGATTTCGTTTTAATGGCACTTGATACTCTTGTGCCCGTGATACCTCTTCTTCATCATCCGACGACTGTGGACGCCGAACTCCTTGCGTTACTGTTATATGTGAGGGTGATCGTGATTGGCGGCAAGAGTCATTAGAATTCGTCAAGTTCTCATTAGAAGTCTCAGCTGCAGGGACAGGTGTTAATATTCTGTCCTCGTGCCCATCCCCCTCTCCCAGCTCGCGAACTTGGTCATGACATTGCAAATCTGGCGGTAATATAGGTACGCATGACGCCGGTGGCAATACTGAACTACCTGGGGTATCAGGGCTGAGAACATCTAGCTCCCAAGGTCTACTTGCATTAATGGTGCCTTTATATAAAATTATTTGACTTACATGTTTTTTTACAACAGTATTTAACAAAGAGTCTCGTATTAAGTATATGATTTTACCAAGTTTTTGTATAATTACGCCTTTACACCAATTGAACTGATTTTTATTCGAATATTTTTTATATAAAACATATTGTCCGGGTAAAAACATTTTTTCTTTCCCACCATGCGACTTAACCTGTGAACACTGTTTTGATCGGACTGTTT